TTTGTGGAAGTTATGTGGTCCTCCATGCCTAGCTGTTGAGCTTTGAGCGCGCATTTGGTTTTTTAGTTGGGCTTTTTTCTGTTCTATTGTTGGGAAGTTTATATCTTCCATTGTAATTTCTTGTTTGTTCAGGGTTAGAAGTAACATCAGAGCTCATGTGGGGGATGTTGATGCTGCAGCAGTTCCGTGTGGCTTTGGGCGTGCAATTGGTAATAAGGTATATCTTGTTTGTTCCAATAATACTATTGCTTTGCTTTTTTCCACATTTTGTATGTTGTACACATCCAAACCAAACCAGACAAAATTTCCGTTTTTATAGCTTATACGGTTCAGTTCGATTTAAATGTTCAGAAAGTCGAAAAATGAAGTTCAGTTTGATTTGGGGTTCACATGCCAAACCCAAAACTGAACCGAACTATATATATGTGTGTATGTGTGCGCGTGCGTGCTGTGAACGCATGTCCAACACGTGAAATTGTGTGCTCCTTTGTTTTTTTTCTTTTTTTTTTTCCTTTTATATATAATTTCGGATACTTGGTGGACATGCCATGGACACACCAATCAGAAACTCAAACCGTTCAAGCGATTGCAACAGGACGATGTCATTGACAGAGGCATCGAGTGGCGAAATCTATCGGAGTTAGAGGGAGGGAGATTGAACAAAGGTGGGGAGAGATGAGCATACTTGACATTGATTCTTCATGAAAACCTCAATAGTGTGCTAGTGCAAGTAGTTGCTTCATTTATTTCCTTCTCAGCCCATATTATGTCTGTCATTGGAGTGTGAGCTTGGGATTGCCATGGGATAGTTGGAGTTTTATCTTCTGTAACGGTGGGAAATAAGCTAATTTCTAATAGGTGTTCTATATCATCTCCTTATCTTCTTGTTCTCCTTCAAGATCTTTGAGATGATAGTTAAAAAAAGGACATTTTATGGAATTATCTTGCAGATTATATTAGCTGAATATCTTCGGCAGGAGCACATAGATTATTGTGTGGATTTATGTTAAATGTATGGTCATTGCTGGAGATTCCGATATTTGTATAAAAGGTTCCTTTTTACCGTATGTTTTGTGGTTTTTAATATCTCATTGTTGTAAATTTTGACATGATCAAAGGTTGTCTGACCAGGGGGCAGTTGGTTTAAGGATAAGAGTGTTCGACCGGGTGTTATGCTTTGTTAACTGTCATTTTGCTGCACATTTAGAAGCAGTCAACCGTCGCAATGCAGATTTTGATCGTGTATATCGGACTATGTGCTTCCAACGGCCATCCAATCCTTTTGGTACCGCAGCTGGTACAGTGTAGTGGCTGTTCATATTTGCACTTGACTTCTTGATGCATTTGTCTTATTAAAGACCTGGTTTGCCATTGCTCCTTTCTTGTGCAGCTTGTTCTTCACCCACTGCTCAAACCATTCGCAGTCCAAATGTATGTGTATAATTAATTGTTGCATGGTCCACTCAGTTGTTTAAATTACTAACTACATTTCTTGTTCCTTCTTTTTATTTGGTGTGCAAATGATGGAGTTGTCTTTCACAGGCTTTTGTTGGGTCCTCTGTAGAAATGACACCTGAATTATCCGAGGCAGATCTGATAATTTTTCTTGGTGATTTTAATTATCGGCTCAACGGAGTATCATACGATGAAGCTAGGGATTTTATTTCCCAAAGATGCTTCGATTGGCTCAAAGAAAGGGATCAACTCCGTTCAGAGATGGAATCGGGAAATGTCTTCCAAGGGATGCGGGAAGCAGTGATTACATTTCCTCCCACATATAAATTTGAGAGGCAACTACAAGGATTATCAGGTAGCTTTTCGATGCTGTTCAGTGGTGTCTAGTTGAGTTTAGGGCTTGGTACAAGCTGCTCGAATATTAATTGCTACTATTTGAGTTAAAAATGTGTCGGTTGCAGCACTTCATTGCCTTGTGCCCCCTTCTTTTAGTGCTTGGATGCATACCATCTTGAAACGTCCTTAATAATGAGTAGTTGAAAATGAGAGGACCCACAGGTTCTATTATCGAAACCTAGCTTGATTTAAAAGATTTGATTCCTTGATATAAAAAGAAAGAAAATAAGAAGGGCAATTATGCTCATAGAAGGTTTTATGTTTCTATCCTGCAATATAGGTTACTTGCATCTTCTGATGGTCTGATATCAAATAAATTTTGCCTGTAATAGGGTATGATTCTGGGGAAAAGAAGCGTGTCCCGGCTTGGTGTGACAGGATACTATATCGTGATAGCCGATCATCTTTGGTGTCCGATTGCAGCCTAGACTGTCCTGTAGTCACTTCTATATCACAGTATGTTGTCAGATTTTAATTATCTTTCAATGTAAGGTATTGAATTAGACACCCGCACCCTCCAACGGAAATCAGATGCCATTTGTTTACATTTCGTGGTACGGGTTGCAGGTGCCCCGACCCTCCCCTTTTTTTTCCTTTCCAGATTCCCTCCCTTAAAGGACTTGTAGAGTCCAGATTGACTAGTAGGCAATCTAGATTCTGTTTTATGTTTTTAGGTTGTCTGAGTTTAGCGAATAGGGTAGCTGCTGCTAGCAATGATTACATCCGTTGGTGTCTGTTTTCTGTATGCTTTCCTTGTTTGGTATGCAGTAGTTGTGTAACAACCCAAGCCCACTGCTGGCCGATATTGTCTTCTTTGGGCTTTTCCTTCTAGGCTTCCTCTTAAGGTTTTAAAACGCATCTGTTAGGGAGAGGTTTCCACACCCTTGTAAAAAATTTTTCGTTCCCCTTCTCCAACCGATATGGGATCTCACAATTCACCCCTTCTTCAGGCCCAGCATCCTGCCTGACACTCGTTCCCCCCTCCAATCGTTATGGGATCTAACAATTCTCTTAGTTGTACATCTTATAGAAAACAAGAAAATGAGAAAAAAATTTAGTATGTTTTTTATCAGGTTCTTCTCCCGTCATGGCCCTTCAATTGGAATGCTTTGATTTATGGGAGTACAATGATTTGGATGTGGTAATTGATTCAACCCCTTTTCCTTTCCATACAGGTATGAGGCTTGCATGGATGTGGTCGATAGCGATCATAAGCCTGTTCGTTGCATATTTGACGTCAACATTGCTCAAGTCGACGAGGCTATAAGAAGACAAGAGCTTGGAGAAATTCTTCACTCAAACGAGAAGATTAAGCATATGCTCGAGGCGCTGTGCAAGGTTCCTGAAGTTATTGTCAGTACAAGCAACATACTTCTTCAACATGAGGATACATCTCTTCTACGCATCACAAATAAATGTGAGAAAAGCGACGCCATATTTAAAATAATTTGTGAAGGTCAATCTACAGTCCGAGTGAACGGGAAAGCCTCGGATCGTTATAGTCTAAGAGGTTCTTTTGGCTTTCCACGTTGGCTTGAGGTAACTTTATTTATTGTCATTATTTATGGGACAACGGTTTCGACTATAACGAACAATGGGTTGTTTCTTGATATCATATTAGGTCTCTCCTGCAACTGGAATTATCAAACCGAATCAAATTGTCGAGGTCTCGATTCGTCTCGAGGAATCCCAAATTTCAGAAGGATTTGATGGTTGCCCACAGAATGCATGGTGTGAAGTCGCCAAAGATAAAGAGGTTATTTTGCTTGTTAAGGTGTATGGAACCTTTTCTAGCAAGTCGAAGAATCATCGTATCCGAGTACGCCATCGTGTTCCTCTCAAGAGCAAAGGAACCATTACCAAAACAAAGAACTCTTCCAAACTTCATGGAAGCGTTCTTCATCGATCTGATATTCATCGTCTCGGCATGCCGAGCAATGTCGTCGACCATCTACCAAATATGCATACCCCTTAACTACAGCCAAGATGGTATGTAAAAGCATGCTTTTGGTCTTTTTGAGAGAGTTCAATTCTACCAGAATCTTGATGTACATACCTGAGGAGGGGTCTCTTACCATTTTGTATCAGAACTCTTGCTGCTTTGATTTGTGTCAATAATGTTCATTCAACAACGATGTCCATTTCTGTATCTCTGTCTGTGTTGGGAATAAAAGGGTTTTGTTCAGATAGTGAGAATATGAATGTCTAGAGAACTCTTGGGTTCGGGTGAAGATGACTTTTCTTCTTCGTGGAGGTATGTGTCTTCTCGATCGCCTTGACCAATTATAGATCAGTCTGACTAACGGTTGCTTTGATCCGTTACACATTAGCTCAAAATACCTTTTTCTATTATGATGATAGGGGTCGATAGTAGGACTATGAATATAGTAATGATCATAGCAATCTCCTCTGGTGCCTATAGGTATGTCAGGATCCAATTGGTCAGGAACATCGTAAGGTACTGCTCATCGCAAATCCCCATACTCCTGGCTGGGATGGGTAGATCTACCTACGAGTTCTAAGTGGCAAGATCCATGAAAGAAAATAGGTTCAAGAGAAGAACCTGTTTTCTTCTTTGATATCACATCGTATATATCGTAATAGAAGCTATTTTTCAAATGTGAAAGTATTCTCTTTTATTTCCCCCTCCCACACAAACACACAACCTATTTGACAAGTTCCGTTCATCTATCAACAATTCAGTGGAAAATTGAAACTTATTTTTCTTTTAATCATTTCTGCTCTACAATTAAACTTATTTTCATAACCGAGCTATCCCGACCATTTCCGACACAATAGATTTGAACGGGTAACATGAGGATTTTCAATCCTGCTCTACAAACTGAGCTATACTGGTCATTTTCAACACATCAGACTTATTTTAATAGCAAATTTGAACCGTTCTACAAACTAAGCTATACCAACCATTTAACATTTAACACATTTCCAACCATACCACTCCTCTTAGAGGGATGGGAGCAAACAAAGTCCCAAGGCATTAAAAAAAAATTGGGAAACAGTATTTTTTTTTCTTTTTTACAAATCTCGAGATTAAAAAAAAAAAAAAAAAAAAAACATAATTGAAATATTTGATATTTTGTAAAATTTAGTATATTTTCTGTAACTTCACGATCAAATACATATATACTAATTGATTACTCACTCGAAGGTCACTTCGATTCTCGCTCTTCGAAAGTTCAGCCATGGGATTCCGTTGTGGCTTCATTTTCTGTCTCTTGATTTGTTCGTCTGTGGCTTTTCAATCCGATGAGCTTCTCGTAGATGATGACGAGTTTGAAGGGACGCAGCAGATTCAGTATACTGATGCCGCTCAGACCCGATCCACGCCTCCCCCAAGCCGTACGACATCGACGAGGAGGCGATTTTCTGATCCTGATTTGGATTCTAAGGTTCAGTTTCAGCTAGAACACTCATTTGGGGACTCTGATTTCGCTCCTGCTGGCTTATTTACTGCACGTCTGAAGACTTCGAGCCATGGTGGTCAGGTGAATCTGTTTGTTTGATATCCGTTTACTTGTTTTGTCGTGCTGTTTAGACTTCGAGAAATTTGGATGGTAAATTGAAATGTCAGTTTATGTAGATTTTGGAAGAATTTGCACATGCCTTGATTGGTTGACCGTTTGTCGTTCCTTCTTGTTAAATTTATTGTTCGTAAGATTTGCAATGAAAATCTTTGGTATTGAATAATCAACGAGCTTCCATAAAAGAGTGTCGCTAACACGTCATCTAGATGCTCCTTGCATCCTCAAAGAATTAGTAAAAAGATCGAGGCTGCTACTATCATGGTTGTCTACTTCATGGTGATTTTTCTGTATTAGCCGTATAGAGTAGTGAAACAATTAAACACTTGTTTTACTGCGTGGTCATGTGTTTTAGTGGTTCAGGATTAGGGGAACTTGGGGTAAGCCAGGTGCTTTTGAAAGATTTCGTTTCTGATTTCAATCGGATTATTTACCATTGGATGTTGTTCAAAATGAGAAAGGTGTCAGGGTTTTGTGTTGTGTACTGGTTTGTTTGCATCTTCAACTGGAAGGGAAAGGATATTGGAAGTCAAATTCAAAGGGGAGGCCCAGTTAGGGGCTATGTTAAATCTGTTAACTTCATTCTGGGCTGCAAATTTGATGATTTTCCACCGAAATATCTTTTATTGATGATTAGTTCATCGAAGGATATAGTATGAAATGTATATTTTCTGGTTTCAAGTGTTGTCTTTTCTGACATGATTTGTTGTTTATGATTTTAATGATATGCAAATTCAATACTCATTCTTCTTCTGGGATCAATGGAAGCAATAAATTTAATTGTCCTGTAGTTTCTCTATTTTATGGTACAATTCAGTAATTCACTTCTCTTTATATTTTGAAACTCTTATGTTCAGTAATTCGGTAATTGCAGACTTTTCTGTTTCTCTTATCCTAAGCATCCAAAATTGTCAGCTATTTCACATGTTCATTGCCAATGACATGCTCTATTTCTTTTGATAGTCACTTACAAAGCTGCGGTTTTCAAGAAATGTTTTTACTGAAGAGGATAGGAAGAAGTTCACGGTAACAACTCCCTTATGTCTTGGTTATTTCATTTTGTGTATTGCTCGTACAATTCCCAAAATCTAGATTGAAGTTCCTTTTAATTTTTTTTTTTTAATGATTATCATTAATTTATTTTTGTAGGCCTTGTTGCAAGAAGATGGTTTCTATAGTGTAAGATTGACAACCAATGTTTTGAAGTCACAGGAACCGGGAGAGAGCTATGTTTACTCATCAGTGAAAGCAGTAAGTTAATTGCAGATTATTAATTATAGCTCATCATGGTCTCTATCCAAGGGGTGAGTATGGTGGCAATGATCAATCACAATCCAAGATGTCATAGGTTCCTGGGACTACTTATTTGGGTCACACGAGTTTTCTGGAAACAAATTTGTAGGGATACATCATGGTATCTGCCTTTTAACCTAGCATTTCGGGATGGGCATTTAAAAAAATGATTTTGATATATTTAGTTATGTTGCTGCTTATTGCATTTGTATTTAATTTTATAGCGTTTTATAGCTCATTCATTTATCTGTAGTTTTGTTTACATTATTTTTCCATGCATTATTCTTCAGAGACATATTTGAAGTGGGCCCTCATGAGTCATGAGATAAATTGGAAAGAGTTGTTATTTTTCTTTTTCTTATATATAAATAATAGGAAAAGTGATAAGGAAAGTGATCTTTTTGAATTCTTTAGAATAATCGTTAGAGGAATTAAGGTTGTGAATTTCTCTGTATCAGCTGTTGATGATTCTTCTTCTGGAAGGGGTAGAGAGGGGTGAGAGCTGAATCCTAGCTAACCTATAGGACATTCGGAGGTAAATATAGGATAATTCTTGAGAGAATCTGGAAGAAAAAAAAGGACAAGAGAGACCATGGGGATTGGTTTGTTGAATGGTGGGGCTGATTTTTAAAGAAAAAATAATATGAAGAGGTTTTTGTGTCTATTGTTGTAGTTTGTTTAGTGTAGGAGATTTTTTGTTTTTTATTTTTTATTTATCATATTATATTTTGTTGGTTTATATTGGTGTTATTTTGATTTTGTTTTCAATTTTGTTTGATAATCTTTGTTCATTTATGAATTTATTATTATTAATAAATTTAGATCCTATTGATTGTTTTGCCGTACAAACAAAAAAAAATGTAAATTTAATTATTTATTATCACGTTAGCTTAAAAATACTATAAAAGTAATTAAGAAATGTCATTTTTGTTTTCTGTAACTTTAGCTGATGAAAAACTGATGCTTTTGGACATACTTTGAATCTTCAAGGTTAAATGTCACTATTTGATATGTAAGGATAAGTTCCCTAATTTCTACTAAATGAATATCAAATTTATATTCGATCCATTAAATGTACAAGTCTTGTCATTTCTTTGCAACTCGTAACCTATTCCCTGCTCTTTATCTTTTGATTTCATGTGCTTAGTTGTTGATGGAAGTTCTTATTTAACCCTGACTTTTCATTTTATGATTTCAGAGATGTCTTCCGCGAGGAGAATTGGATGAGCATTTTGTGATTCACATGGTAAATCTCCACCTTTTGTTTCTTTCAAACATTATTGTTATTAATTTTCACTGACCTTTTCACGACATAAACTTTAATGTTTTAACATTCTATGGCTATGCTTTCTTTACAAATTGGTTATGTAAATGTACATAATTTTTTTAAATAACAAATGTCTTACAAATTTCTCAATATCAAATTAAGTTTAACAATTGTTCTATGAAATTAGTTGAGAAGTGTGTAATTGGCTCGGACTCTGATGGCTGCCAAAAATAGAATCTAGGTTGAATTGGTTTAATGACAATATAGAAAACCTTTTCTTTTGCTTAAAGTATATTGTCCTAGGGGGTTTGAATACATATAGCTTAGTTTCTTGCAATACTCATATTAAGATATTACGTTTAGATCAGGCAAATTGTTCAACTTTCATGTTATATTACCTATTTGAAATGAGGAATGAGACTGGAAACATCCCGACATTACCCTGCTTCTGCATTTTTATAACACTGCTAGTAAATTAGATTGCTAATTCAAGTGATGTAGTAGATTTTCATTATTAAAACTAAAGGTTTGCATGTTATACCTCATCATGCTTGACACACAAAAATTGGTGGGATGGATTTTTGTTAAACATAATTTTGTCTGTATGATCTTAAGTTTTGGAAGCTGTGCACCGATTTACGGAATTATGTATCAATAACAATGATCAAATAAATGGGAGCGGTGAGAATAACTTTAATACTACCGAACAAATTTCAAGTAAAGATATTCTCTTTCATGTGTCTGAACACTCTTGTAAATGCATCATATCTAAAAGGTCCTCGTATCTAAAGCACATCTTCTGCTGTTCTGCTTCCAGGATGGTGTTAATATTTTGGCTGTTAATTATGGCACCCCTGGAGCATGCCCTTTTCCCCGGCAACTGAGACTTGTAAGTATTCTTTTGCCCTTGGCTTATCATTGGTTTTGTTTCCTCATGATAACTACAAGCATCTTACCGTATATGGAGAATCAAAGTGATGGTTTGAATTAATAGTTGCTGAACCAGAATTAGAGTCGCCAATTTATTTGAGCTTATGAAATCATCTTCTTGTTTACAAATGTATTTCATCTTCTCCACGGTTTCTTTATCATAGTTCTCTTAAGCACATATGTAACAACCCTACACTAGATGAGGGGCTAACTGGGCAACTAGTAGGATCATTGTTAATGATCAAGTGTTCTAGACAGAAGTAATTACACCTTTTAATGTCTACAAGTTCATCAAGGAATCCATTAGACTAATAGAAGTACTAGGAAAAAATACTATAGGACGATCGTCTCTTTATAGCTTTCAAGATGAGATGCAATCAGTAGCATTGCTTGACTGAAGTGAGATGCAGTTGATTAATGTCCGGGTGAAAAGGTATGATTAAAATCTTACTTACTTGGCCCTAGATTACTACTCCTACTGGGATAGTCGCAAAGGATGACTAAGATAGCTAATAGCTGCTCAGCTCATATTGGCTTGGCCTTATTCAACTACCAGCACAGGAATGCTTGGAAAAATAGAAGCACTAGGATAGAGAGGAACAACGGACGATAAGAACCGTATAAGACCTTACATCTATCTATAGTTCTCCGAGAGTTTGAGAAGCTAAAACAGAAAGGACGAATTAGCTCTATCAAAGATTTAAACCTCATTAGGTTTTCTTTTGTCAGTCATTCTCTTTCTCCATCAGAGTGTAGATCGTGCTTAAGAGGAAGTGAATCAATTGACCATGTTTCTTCATTGTTATTTTGCTGGCTTTTGTGGCGGGGATCCTAAGGATTTCTTTTTGCCTCCCTAAGAAGGTGGATGAATGACTTTGGGAAGGAATAAATGGGTGGAATTTGAATGGAAAAGCCAAGGTGGTGGGGAGTTGTGCCGTTAGAGCCCTCTCATGGCATCTTTGGAAGGAAAGGAATGCTAGAACCATTGAAGATAAGACTTAACGTTTTGATGGGTTTTGTAATCTTGTCCAAAATTCGGTTGTACCTTGCCTTTTTTGGAATATAGTCCCACGTTTCTTATCAAAAAAATTATAGACAATAATAGACATGATTATGATATATAATTAATGTTCTTGAACTGTGTTTTTTATTTGGTTTATACTTTCGATCACTAACATTCATGTGGATGATCTCGCCTTCAGCCTTCAAAATGGTCTTTTAACTCCCTCACATTTTTGAAGAGCGGCGAGCAGGCTCCTAGGTAAGTCCGTTTTTACATTTATCCTTTCATTTCTCTCGTTGAGCCTAATTTTACTAGCTTGCCCGACTGCGTTTATGATGCTGTAATATGAATGTGTTCTTGAAAAGTGAAGAAGAGGTTATACATCAAATGACAAATTAACTTCCCATGAATTGGAGAAAAAGCTACATCTTCAAAACCTCCAAAAACTTTCCAAACACCATGGCTCTGTATTGAAAGTTTAAATACCTTTTCTAGTCACCAGCCTTTCAAACCTTGGACCACCAAAAACAAAACAAAATCTTCACAACTACTTCTTCTTTAAGGCTGTTTTATACTGCAACGAGCTCTTTTATGCATTATCCTTTCCGTCTCAGATTGGCACCAAAATTATTCCGGATTTTTTTCAGAGAACCAGCACCCTCATTCCCTAACTTCGCTTTTACATACAAAACATCATCCAAATGTTCAAAATCTGGGGATGAATTAAGTTTGGCCTTAGAAATCCTCATTTCTTTACTTTTACATTGCTTAGATGAAGCAACGAAATGAGCTCTCCCTTCGCGTCATCTTTATGGATTTGTGTGTTATGGATTGAGACGATATGTTGTGTTGGTTTGCTGTCAAGTGCAGTCTGAAATTTAAATTTCTCCATACATTTCACAATTTGATTTTTGGTTTAGTTAGCTTTTTTAGAGTTGGGCATGTTTTCTCACCATTTCTAAGAAACGTTTGAATTCTTAGCCAAATTTAAAAAACAAAACAAGTCTTCTAAAACTACCTATTTTAGGTTTCTTGATGATCATTTTATTTTGGTTTTCCGTCTTCGAAAACTAAGCTTATAAACACTATTTTTACTTATAGTTTTCTTTTTGTATTACCTACTTTTTTTTAAACGTTTTTTAAAATCAAGCCAAAACAAGAATAACTCTTATAAACATGGTTTTGTTTTTTGTAATTTGAAAGTATAATTTTCAAATAAACAGAAGGGTTGTTAAATGGTGTTATAATTTTAAAACTTAACTTGTATTTTGAAAATGGTTATAAAGATAACAAAACAAAGAGACCAAAGTGGGTGTAGTGTTTATAAGCTTAGTTTCAAAAAATAAAAACCATTAACTTCTAGTTTTAAAACGGGTCTCGATTGCTTATCTAATGTCGTCTTGAATTTGATATACTCAAAGTCTAGATTCAATGGTTTTCACAGAACGCCTATATTTGCTGATGACATTCTCGTTGGTGAAACTGGAGAAGGGGAAGGTGTAAAGCCACCAGAAAAGTCATTTTGGGCTAAATATGTGAGTTTCAATGAAAAGAGAAATTATTCCATAACCTTAAATTTTGATATATTCTTACCGGATCTGTATCCCTATTATGGCAGTGGATGTACCTGATACCACTAGGACTGATTGTTATGAATGCCATAACACAAGCAATGAACATGGCTGAAGAACAGGTTGGTGGCCAAGCAGCAGGACAAGGACAAGCACAGCCACAGCAGTCAGCTGCTGCAATACAACGTGGACCAGGCTCGTCTACGGTAAGACGACGATAGAAACTGTTAGAAAAATAGACAGGAAAGCATGCACCATTCGTTTTCCTTGTAGTTTTCAACATAATGATTGGACTTAGAGAATTTTTTGGCGATGAATTTCTAACTTTATTAGCAACAGAAACTTTGTCAAAGTGCAGAGTACTGTAAATCCCATTTATTTGTTTGACTGATGCTCAACTTCCATTTAAGACTCCCGTTGGAATTTGTTCATTGAAGTCTTTATGTTTTATTTTTGAATTGAGAATGATACTGATTACCAATACCATGAGGTAAACATGATATACCCCATGATATGCATAATGTTAGAAATGCTGGATAATAGTTGTAGCCAATAGAAGAGTTTTTCATAATTTTTCCGTTGTCGAGTAAGGTTATTATCGTTGGATCTTTCCACAACCTTTGGATATGAGTGGAGACGGGATGGCTTCTTCATCCTTGTCCTCGAGATGGGGAGAGGCTAAATGTTATTAACAATAGGTGATGGTTCTGAATTCTTGGTCTCTTATCTTTCTCGAGTTTCTCATCTAATTTATGTATATAAGCAAATGGGCGTACACCAATACTATACCTAGCTAAGTATCTACTTCTAATGCAAGTAATATGATATATAGATATGGATATAGATCAGCCTGTTATCCCTAGAGTAACTTTTATCCGTTGAGCAACGGCCTTTCCACTCGACACCATCAGATCACTAAGGCCGACTTTCATCCCTACTCAACGGGTGGGTCTTGTAGTGAAGCTCCTTTCTGCCTTTGCACTTGAGGGTCAATCTCCGTCTAGCTCGAGGAAACCTTTACACGTCTCCGTTGCCTTTTGGAAGGCCTATGCCCCATAGAAACTTTCTACCTGAGACTGTCACTTGGCCCATAGGTCCTAACACAAGGTAGAATTCTAGCTCTTCCAGAGTGGTATCTCATGGATGGCTCGAGGGGCCTTCTTCGCCCTCCACCAAAGCTGCACAGGAAAAGCCCAAAGCCATCCCTTCTCTCTCTATTATATATAGTATTTTATGCTAACATAATAATGTCTATTATTATGACTAAAAGTCATATAACCACTCCAATAATTTTATAATTCATATAGAAGTCTAGATCATCTTATTGATCGATCATATTGAAAAATAATTATTGAAAGCTTAATAGTAGTTATAAAATACTGCAAATATATATAAAAAATAACTCAAATTAACGATAAATAATTGTGATATAGGTAAATAAAATTTCTTTCGAATAAATAATATCGAATAAAAAGAAATAATTTTGAATAACAAAATAGAATGTTCCCAAAATATCCTGAAAAGTAAAAAATGAAAAGAATTCAAATAGATTGGAAATATTTATGCTAAAATTTAATTTAATAAAGAAATTTTGATTAAAAAATAATTAAAAAAATAAATTTACTTTATATATTTATTATTATTATTATTTTTTAAAAAAAATCCAAATTCTGCCTACCTACCACGGGACAAAAACGGTAACCAAAAAATGAACGTGAGGAAAGCCAAATGTCCTTTTCAGGCAGCATGCTCTGCGACTTATATAACTGTGTGGCGGTTTCCTTTTCAACTCTGTCACTCTCCCTCATTCCTCTTCAAACCGGTACTCAATCAGCATGGCGGCCGCCGTACCGCTTTGCCCGGCTTCCGTTAACGCTTTCAAGCCTCGCTATCCAGCAGTTGGCTCTAGAAATGCCGTCTCTGAAAGTTTGATCGGCGAGTACCGGAAAGTGCAGAAATGGAACCGTTTCGAGCTCCAGAGGTCGCAGGTCTCTTCTGCTGCTGCTAATGGCGATGCAGTGACTGTAAGCGACTCTTCACGTTCCGCCATTCGTTCTTCGTAAGTGTTCGGGAAAAATCCAGTTCTACTTTTACTTCAATTTGGTTACTTCTTGTTGATGCTTTTCATCAGTGTCTTATTCCATTGGTTAATTTTGGTTATTCGTTTATTGAAACAAGTATTATCCGCTTGGTTGCTTCACTGATCATTTTGATTTTGACGTTTTTTAAAAATGATCATCTTTCTTTGTTCTTTCCCCCTCTAAGAAACGGCTATTTGTTGATATGTGGAATTTACAAAAGAGAGGACTAATGGGCTTAGAGAAAATATCTCCTATTGTCAATGACTTGTTCAATCAAAATCAAAACCTTTATATCATAGTTGGAACTTGTAACAAAGTTCAAGGTGGCACTGTATTCTTTTTTGCTTTCAGGGTGATGCGACATGCTATATCTGTGTTTGTTGGTGATGAAAGTGGAATAATAAACCGAATTGCGGGTGTCTTTGCAAGGAGAGGTTACAACATTGAGTCCCTTGCCGTTGGATTGGACAAGGATAAGGCTCTCTTTACCATTGTGGTCACTGGAACAGAAAATGTCTTGAGACAAGTTGTGGAGCAGCTAAACAAACTTGCCAATGTTATGAAGGTTTTGTTGATTTTTCATACCGTCTTTCTTTATTTTGGGAAGGCGTATGGGGGCGTGTGCAATCTTTTTGCATTCAGTTTCCGTGTCGACAAAGGGGATTGGTGTGTGATAGCTGGGGTAGTAGTTGTTGGTCTTGTAAGAGCATTACTTGAAGAAATTTGAGGAGGTTGAAGTAAGGGAGTTTGCTGCCAAGAGAAAGAGATCATTCATTTACGAATTGAAGTCTGATCTAGGGGTGTAGAGGACTGTAGAAGTTCGTACTTGAAAGACGATAATCATAGTTATTTTTGGGTCCGTTAGTAAACATAGTTGATCAACGCTGGTTGACAAGGTTTTGTTAGGTTTTGATTCAGTGTCGTCGAGCTATGATTTTCCCTCCTAAAAGCTAGTTAAGGAGAGCTGATGCACTCAAGTTCTCAAAGAATACCTCTGAAAGTTTTTATTGGCTTTTAAGGCAAAAAGGAGAGCCATGTATATAGCCTGTCACCAACAATGGACTGTAACAAATAGATTATCCAAATAAAAGACCTAACTACCCTAAGGTAATAGTTTTATGGAAGCTACTTGAACGTGAAAGACTTCATTAACTTTGTCCCACGAAAAAAAGGACAATTATAAAAGACTAAACAAGAAACAGGGCTACTGTTTAAGGAGCCTCAAGAATAACCAAGAACTAGCCAAGAAACATCACAAAGTTACTACATCAAATTAGAAAGAAAACTAAAACAAACCGTCGCTGCATCAAAGGTTTGTTTGTGAAACCCAGCCAACCAACCAAATACAACCAAATCAATCTCCTTCCACCAGTCATTCACCTTGTCAAGAAAATCAGGGTGATCTTACCACATATTCCCAAAATGAAGGGGCTGAGGCCCCATTTTTGGAAACCAAAAAACAAAAGAAGAGTGAAATGGTCTGAAGTGATGCGCACCTGCCTATACATCGAAATCTCCTTGAAAATCTCCTCCCAACCTCCCAAAGCAGAAACATTTCAATTCTGGAACTCCTGGGTCTAATCCCTGAACTAGACCAAGAGAAATGGTCTCCCTTCATAGGAGGTTCAAACAGCTACAGGTTATCAATAAGATTGTTAAAGGACCTCCTCCCCTTAGTCATCCTATTGTAAGATTTCTCGGAGACCCATCTAACCATGTTAAAGTCTCCCCCAATACACCAGCAATCTGCACAAAGCCCTGTAACATCGTAGATATTCTTTTTTACCTTGAACCAAAGAATAAAAAGTTAGTGAAAAATGAATATACCTTTAAACTCTTTAGATATTTCAATTATCAGGTGGAAGATATCTCAAGAAAGCCCCAAGTGGAGCGCGAGTTGGTGCTTATGAAACTCAATGCTGATCCAAGTACTCGTGCTGAGGTGATGACTTGCATTATATTTTTAATGGCCATTTTACATGCTTTGTGGAAAGAACCATTTTTGTATGAATAAGATACAGGATTTTAAGTTCTAATTCTTGTTTCTGTTTGGGAAATCATTTTAAAGGATTATATCCCCCCTTGATAGAACCTCTGATTCTCCTTTCCTAAGTCTTCGAAGGCGGCATGGTTTCTCATAAAAAAACACCTAATATCTTTAGTTGAAGATTTTGAAAACTTCCAATTTCCGTTACTTCATCATCTCTAATTTTTTATTGTCTTATGCCTCTATCTTTTTTTGTTTCTCAGATAATGTTGTTGGTAGACATCTTCAGAGGAACAATTGTGGATATTTCAGAACATTCACTGACTATTGAGGTAACTACTTTCAGATCCTTCCAGAACATTCACTTATTGCATGGTGGATGTTCAGTCTTCTATTTGAATATTATCATCTTATCGCCAATATCTCCGAAGTATTTTTTTGTGATGTCCCACATTAGTTGGGGAGGAGAACAAACCACCATTTATAAGGGTGTGAAAACCTTCCCCTAGCAGACGCGTTTTAAAGCCTTGAGGGCAAGCCCGAAAGGGAAAGCTCAAAGAGGACAATATCTGCTAGCTGTGGATTTGGGTCGTTACAAATGGTATCAGAGCCAAACACCGGACAATGTGCTAGCCTTCTCACTGTTCCCCGAAGGGAGGTAGACACGAGGCGGTGTGCCAGAAAGGACGCTGGGCCCCAAAGAGGGGTGGATTTGGGGGTGGTCCCACATCGATTGGAGGAAGGAAAGAGTGCCAGCGAGGACGCTGGGCCCCGAAGGGGGGTGGATTGTGATGTCCCACATTGGTTGGGGAGGAGAACAAACCACCATTTATAAGGGTGTGGAAACCTTCTCCTAGTAGACGCGTTTTAAAGCCTTGAGGGCAAGCCCGAAAGGGAAAGCCTAAAGAGGACAATATCTGCTAGCGGTGGATCTAGGTCGTTACATTTTTTGTCTTGTTAATTTATATCAATTTTACCATCTTTTTTAATGTAAAATTATTGTTTTCTTAATTAAAAAATTTATAGTTGCAAGTCTGAGAGATGGAATATTCTTAGTTAGTAGCAAAAAGTTGAAAATGACAATTAAGTTTCTTTTTCATCTTCTGTGTGTTCCATCTTCGACCTTTGATTGGTCAAGCTTTATAGGACTATTTCTTTTTCGAGCATTTCAGTTCCATTTGTTTTTTTTTTTGTTTTTTTTTTTATATTTTTTTTAAAGAAATGGATTAGTTATTTACCATGGATGCTAGAAGTTGTCTTGCAAGAGATTTAACTGAAAGAAACTTAGTACATATTCTGTTCACTTTATCTACCGTATTATCATAAAATGATTAAAGTGTGTACATCGTACAATTGAAGTCATTGTTTTGCATGGCCTACGTTC